ATTATCATAATTATTTATTTTATTCTCACTATTCAGAGAGAATTTTCATTTTTTTTAATCAATTTTTAATTTATCTATCATACATCATCTTTGTTGTCAGTTAATTTAATTTTATTTTGAAATTTAATGATTTTACAATATAATTCGCCATTATTTATAAAATCAAATATTTCAAATAACTCATCAAATTAATTAATCATAATTGTGTTTATTTCATATAATCAAATAATTTTTAAATTTTTATTGAAAAAAGACTCACGTGTGCCCCTTTTTTTTTTTTTTAATTTTTAATTTTTATTTTTTAATTTTTAAATTTTATTTATTTTACATTTTTTTTTTTTTTCTTCTCATTTTAATCGATCCTTCAATTATCTGTACAATAAAACCAATAAAAAAAAAAAATATTAAAATAAAAAAAAAAATAAAAAAAATAAAATGGAATCAAATTGTAAAAATAAGCCATATTTAAGTAATAGCAACAATGGCTATTCTAATCATTATCAGTATAGTTATTCTTCGCCTCCACAACAAAATTTTGTTGCCTTGCCTGTACAATATAGTTACTCACCCTCTTCTTCCCCATCACCTATTTATTCTAAACAACCATCACCACCACACCAAATTACCTGCTCTCCTCCCATTACGCCACCACTTCATAGTAATGCAGTAAGTCCAAGAAACTATCATGATGCATCCTATCCAGAAAGTGATGCCGCAATGGTTGTTCCAAGTTATCACTCACCTTCCCTATACCCATCTCCATATTACCATCATCACCCTAGTCATCATTTAAACCATCCAATGCATCTTTCACATCACCACCACCACCACTCATCACCACCACACCACTCTGTAATTGTACCAAAAATAGAAATACCCCCAAGATCATTATCACCAAATCAAACAATAGTTTCACCATCAACACATCCACCAGTTTTAAATTTAAATGATTCATATGATCATTTAAAAAATAATAATAATAATAATTATAATAATAATAACAGTAATATTAATAATTCAAACAATAATAACTTTGTAAATAATTCAAATAGTTCAAATAACAATAAAGTTGAACCATCATCCAGTAATCCGAATAGTCCAGTTCTTTCACCAAAATCAAATAATAAAATTGGTGATATAATATCAGGCTTAATACCAATTTGTAATGAATTAAATAGTAACAACCAAGCACAAAACAAAATTATTTTAAACAAACTTCAAGAATCAATTGAAGATGCACTCAAAGAAATTAAAAAAATTAAGAAAACTAGACTACCATATCCAAAACCCCAAACCTTAAAAGAAAATGAAGAAAAAACGTATGTATTCAATATATATTTAAATATAATTAGTTCAAAATATATAAACCCAGGTATACTAATATTTATTTCTTTTTTTTTTTCTTCCATTATTTAATATTTTTATCACCCATTTTTCTCATACATCAAAAAAATGACAATATTGTTGTTGGTGTTATTTTAAAAAATATCTTTTGTTTATTGGGGGTTTTTTTTTTTTTTTCTAAAAAAATTATTGGGCATTTTTTTTTTTTTTTTTTTTTAAAAAATCAGTTATATATCACTAAGACCAAGAAGAAATAGAAAATGTACAAACAAGACGAAAACACTTAACCCAAACTCTTCTGAAGAAATATTTTGCTTAGCATGTGGCACTACCAAGAGTCCCGAGTGGAGAAAAGGGCCAGACGGTTGTAAGAGTCTTTGTAATGCATGTGGTTTATATTATGCCAAAACAAAAAAAAAAGAAAATGAAATCTCTTATCAACCAGAACTACTTCCAAAACTAATGAAAATCAACAACTTAATAAATGACTAATGCCTCACTATTGTTTTTTTATTTTATCATAATAAAAAAACATTTTTTTTCAAATAACAATAGGTTTTTTTTTTTTTTCCATTTCTTTTTTTATTTTTAATTTTCCTTTTTTTTTTATATCATTATTTTTATTATCGAAAAAAAATAAAATAAAATGAATTATTATAAAAACTATGAATTTTATAAAAATAACGAATCAGGCGGAGAGGGTTGTTAATGAGGGATGAGGGTATCAAAAAAAATTGAAAATTTTTTTTTTTTTTTAAAATAAAAAAAATAATAATGATAATATATTATATAAAAAATCATCATTATTTGAGATTTTGATAGAGTTGTCAAAACTTAATTATAATAAAAATTTCATTATTTTTTATTAATATTTTTATTATTATTATTATGTTGAAATGAGGATGTGCATCACAAAAAAATAATACACTCGATAATAAATCAATATCTATAATTGGGAGATTTGAATTTTTTAAAAAAAAATAAATGAAATGGCCCATGTGACCAAAATAAAAAAATCAATGAAAAAAAAAGCAAAATAAATTTTTTTTATTTTTTCGCCTCTTCAAAATATATTTTTTGCCCTAGTTATTTTTTTTTTTAGTGTGGTTTTTTTGTTTTTTTTTTATTATTACATAAATATAAAATATATTTGTTGTTGTCATTAAAATCGAATCTTTTCTTCGCTAGTATTTTATATGATGAACAAAAAAAATTTTGTAATAATAATAATAATAATAATAATAAAAAATAACTTATATAACGAATATGGTTATATTTAATCTTAAAAAATTAAGAAAAAATAAATAAATAAAAAATGATGGTAGAGCTTCAGTATCATAAAGAGAGTGCGTTGTCTTACCCTCCTTTATATAGAATCTAAATTAATTTTATATTTTAAAAGAAAAAAAACCAATAAAACACCACCCCACACAATACACCAAAATTAATCTTGGGGATTTTTAATGTTGATTTTGGTTATGATTATTTTTTTTATTTTTATCTTAATTATTAAATATTATATTTATTCTTTTTTTGCAAAATTATAATCAAAAAAATAAAATCAAAAAATAAAATAATAAAATACAAAAAAGATAAATGTAATTTTATCTTTTTTTATTTTTACAATTATTATTTTTTGTTATCCTCTAATATAATCATAATGATGAAAGCTTAATTCATGTCTTTGAAGCTCTAAAGTTGCAGATGGTATTCGTCTATTGTTTCTTTTGCTCCATCATTCTCTGTTTGAATTCCAATCCCCTTGGTAGAACCCTTAAATATTAGAATGCTAAATGCTAAAAAATCTAGGTTTTTATTTTCTATCTGTTTTAATTTTAAAATAATTATTTTACAAATATATTTCAGTTTTTTTTTTTTAAATTTTTTATTTATTTAAATATTTACAAAGCTATTTATTTAAAATTTTACTTGATTATTTTACCATTTTTTTGTTGCAGTAAATGATGGATAACCTGGTTGTGGGTAAGCTGGTTGTGAATATGGTGAAACTGGTTGATAGGCACTACCTGGATAACCTGATGGGAAACCTGGTTGTTGGTGGTGTGGGTAAGCTGGTTGTGGAATAACTGGTTGTGGGACAACTGGTTGATGGTGTGGGAAGGCTGGTGATGGTGCACAAGCGGATGAACCTAATAAAAGATTTGATTTGTTTGATGGTTTTGAGGTCCACATAATTTGTTTGGCTGTATCTAAAACGAGTAATTGACCTTTTCTAAATTTAGCAGAGTAGTTACCTTTGATACCTTGACCATGGGTACCAGATGACCAAGTACAGACTGAGTGAGAATCATAAATACAAAGATTACCTATATTTTAAAATATACATGTAAGTATTTTTTGAAGATAATAATAATATAGTTGTTTTCTTTAATAAAATGTATATTTACCATCGCCTTGCATAATTAATCTATATGGACCATGGCCTTTACCATCAGTGTTACTAGCCCATAATGAATTTGCTGGATAGTGTGGGCCTGAATAAATAACAAGATTACCATCTGGTTGCATAACTAAATGGAATTTTCTGTCTTTAGTTTCAATTTGATTATTTCCATTTGAACATAATGGATGATCTTGACGAATAGAATTAACTGGATGCAACATTTTATTTATTTATTTATTTATATTTTATTCAAAATTGGGTGTAAAAAAAATAAAATTTTATATTTATATTTTTTAAAAAAAAAAAAATAAAAAAAACAATTTGATAAAAACAAAAAAAAAATAATTTTTTTTGAGAAAATATCTATTTTTTTGCTCACCAGTTTACTCGAAAATTTAAAAGATGACCCACTCAGTTTTTCATACTTTTCTCACCCTTTTTATAAAAATAACAAAAAAAAACCAGTTACTAAAAAATCTAAAAACAAAAAAAAAAACAAAACAAAAAAAAAAACGATATGATATTTTTTAAAAAAATTATAATAATGATTTTATTTTTAGAATAAATAGTTAGATTGATTTGCGATTGAAAAAAAAGATATATTGTTCGATTAAAATAATGAGACCTATTTTAGTGATTATTTTAAAATGAGGTATAATCTTGGTGTTTAATTGATATTTTTGAGCTTGTTCTTCATTAATTTTGTTGTGATGGTTGTAATGGTTGTTCAGTTGGTTGTTGTGGTTGGTATTGTTGTTGTTGTTGTTGTGGTTGGTAATGATATTGTTGTGGTTGTGGGGCTACTGGTTGTTGTGGGTAAAAAGGTTGTTGATATTGGTATGATTCTTGTGGTTGTGGTTGTGGCTGTGGTGGAGCTACAGGTTGTTGGTCAGCTGGTGAAAATAAAAATCTAATTGTAAAATTATCAGAAAAATTTTGAGATTTAATATGGCCATCTTTTTCGTCGATCATTGATTTGTTTAAATCTAAACAATAGTTATCAATGAATGAAGTGTGGAATGCTAAAAATTAAAAAAGATATAAAATTAGTAACTATTCATTATTAATTTATAAAATTAAAATTGTAATTATAATATTTACCTATTTTCAAAGATGGTTTATCTAATAAAACATTAAAAATCTCTTTTGAAAGTATATCGCTGAAGCCATGATAAATCTTTACTAAAACATCACCTTCGATTAACAAACTTTGGGTATCAATCATAACAACGTCACCAGATACTCTACAGAATCTATCATTTTGATTGCCAAATGGAGTATCTAAATTTTTTGTTGAAAATAGGAGTTTTTGATCCAATGGTCTTGTGATACTAAAGATTTCAATGGTTGGTTTCCATGGTCCACCTTTAGCAGAAACTGTTGGTGATGGTTTAATCATAATTGAATTTAATCTTAATTTAGTTGGATTTTGAACTACATCGACATTTTTTTGAGATGTTACTAATTGGTTAACATAATAAATATATCTTAATTGACTTGGTACCTAAATAAAGATAACTATTAATATCGTTATAAACAATACATATATATAATTTAAATTGAATACATACTGAAACACCTTGATTTATTTGTGATCTTTGACGTGCAAAAAGTTGTAATGCTTCCTCGGGTTTACCTTCATACATGAGGGTAGTTAACAAATAAGCAGCAATTAATGTACCAGTACGACCTTTACCTGCTAAACAGTGAATTGCAACTACATTGGTTTCATTTTGGCTCAACCAACTGTGAATAGCTTGAACAGCATATAATAATAAACCTAAAGATGGTGCTTCGTTATCATTCCAGCCAATATGTTGAACTCTATTGTCGAAAAAGCTATGATCATATGGTTTCTCTGTTAAATTTATAATCAAATATGAATTTGGGTGATATGTATTTAAAAACCTTCTAACATCCATTCTTGAGTTTCTATAAAATTGTGTATCTTGACCTGGATAACCCATTGCAATAATTCTTGGGGTGATATATGATAAATCTAAATTAAATCCATTTTCTTTAAATCTATTACGATCCGATGATACTTGTTCTCTAATTCTAATAACATTACCATTAACTGCCTTCTCAATATCTTCCCCGATTTTATTAGTTGTTTCAATTAATTGTTGATTTAAATTTCTGAAGAAATCCATTTCTTTTTTATTTATTTAATATAATACAATCAAAGATATCAATTGTGTATTATAAATATATAATATTATAATTATAAAAAAAAAAAAAGATTTTAAAATATAAAAATAAACTGTGGTGTAGTTTTTAAAAAAATAAAAAAATTAAAAAATTTAAAAAAAAAAAAAATTAAAAAAAAATTAAAAAAAATAATTTTACAAAATTTAAAAAAAAAGGAAAAGTTTTATCAAAAAGGGAAATAATCTGATTGCAATATTATTTATTAACAAAACTTTAAAAATAGTTTTGTAAATAAATTATAAAAATGAAATATTTTTTTTTTTTTTTTTTTTACAAATTTTTATTTATTATATAATTTAAAAAAGGTATTAACTTTCTTTTTTTTTTTCTTTTGTTTTTTTTTTTTAAAAAAAAAAAAAAAAGTATTTATATTATTGCGATTATTGATATAGTTTCTATTATTTTATGTATTTATTATTATTTCTGTTATTTTTAATTATTTTATGATACTATCTTTGAAATGATACCAGCACCAACAGTTAATTGACCTTCTCTGATGGCAAATCTTAAACCTTCATTAATTGGGGTTGGTGAAATGAGTTCAATGGTTAATTCTAAATTATCACCTGGCATGGCCATAGCAGTGTTTGGTGGTAATTCAATGGTACCAGTAACATTTGAAGTTCTGACAAAGAATTGTGGTTTGTAACCATTGGCGAAACCTTTCTTTCTACCACCTTCACCTTCAGTAAGGATATAAGTTTTAGCAACAAATTTGGTTGAAGCTTTGATTGTACCTGGTTTGCAGAGAACTTCACCTCTTAAGACTTCTTCACGTTTTAAGCCTCTTAATAAACAACCAACATTTTCACCAGCTTGAGCGAAATCTAATAATTTACCAAACATTTCAATACCAGTAACGGCAACTTTTGGAACTGGTTTAATACCAATAATTGAAATTTCTTCACCGACTTTAACAGTACCTTGTTCAATACGACCAGTGGCGACAGTACCTCTACCTGAAATTGAGAAAACTTCTTCAACTGGCATAAGGAATGGTTTATCGACAGCACGATGTGGTAATGGGATTTTAGTATCTAAGAATTCAACTAATCTATCAATAGCTTTTCTACCATATTCAGTAGCAGTAGCATCATCATCTTCAGCTAAAGCGACGGCAGCAGCACCTTTAACAAATGGAGTACTAAAAAAATAAAAATAATAAAAATACAAAAAATTAGTATCTTTTAAAATTATTTAAATTATAAATATTTATAATATTATCTCGTTATTATTATTATTATTACTATTATTAGTTGTTGTTGTTATTATTATTATTAGCCATTAATTACTATGCTATATAATATTATTAGTTATTAACTGAATATTATTAGTTATTAACTGAATATTATTATATATTATCATCTAATATTCATATTGTAATTAAAATTGATGACTATGTAATAATTTGTTATTTGTTTAATATTGCTATAAATTTGATTGATTTGTTGTTATTGTTTTTTTTTTTTTTTTTTTTTTTGATATTTACTTATCACCATCAAAACCATATTTTGATAATAATTCACGAACTTCCATTTCTACAATTTCGACAAGATCTGGATCAGCGTTATCCATTTTATTTAAAAAGACAATGATAGCTGGAATACCGACTTCACGTGATAAAATAACGTGTTCACGAGTTTGTTCTTGTGGACCATCTGGAGCTGAAACGACTAAAATAGCACCATCCATTTGAGCAGCACCAGTAATCATATTTTTAATGTAATGTTGATGGCCTGGACAATCGATGTGGGCATAATGACGATTTGGTGATTCGTATTCAATGTGTGAGGCGGTAATAGTAATACCACGAGCTCTTTCTTCTGGTGATTTATCGATTTGATTGTATGATTTGAAGTTGGCTAAACCACGATCTGAAAGAGTTTTAGTGATAGCAGCAGTAAGAGTAGTTTTACCGTGATCGACGTGACCAATAGTACCAACATTAACGTGTGGTTTAGTACGTTCGAATTTCTTCTTTTCAGCAGCCATTTGAATGGTGCTGGTTCTGAAATTTCTAACTAAAACATTGGTAGTATTGTTTTTTAAAATTACTCTTGAGATCATTTTTTTAAATAAATATATAAATTATATTATTAAATAATAAAAACTTTCGTAAAAAAAGAAAAAAAAAATTTAATAAAAAAAAAAAATTGCCTAAAAGCCAGTCGAAAAAAAAAAAAATTTTAAAAAAAAATAAAAAATAAAAAATAAAAATAAAAAAAAACGAAAAAAAAAAAAAAACTATTTTTCGAACTCCTTTTAGTTTAAATTATATTATTTACATAAAATAATATAATTTGATATATAAAACTGATTACATTTTTTTTTTATAAAAACTATAATAAAATCCAAAAAAAATTTTTTTTTAAGGATAATTAAAAAAAAAAAAAAAAAAGTTTATATGAATTGAATTTGATATATAATAAACAAAATAAATTAGAAGAACTATTGTTTGGATGCATTCACTTTAGCATTGATTTCGCTCGTTAATCATTATAATTGGATTTATGATTATTATTTAGATTAAATATTTTCCAACGAATCAAACACTCTTTTATTTTAAATTTATTGGTAAAATAAAAAATCGATCAATCTTGTAATTAATTTTTTGTTTAATAATTAAATTTATGAAATTAATACAATTTCCAATAATAAACTGAACTATTTTATTAGTTTTTTTTTTAAATTATTATTATTTTTAATTTTTTTTTTATTTTTTTTTTATTTTTTTTTTCGTAACTTTTAAAAATATTTTTTATATTTTTTTTTTTTTTTTTTTTTTCACATTTCAAAAAAATCTTAGAGATAGAAAATCACACAAATATTTTTATATATTTATATACATCCAACCACCACACATATTATTTGTTATTTTCATTATTTTCTCAGTTTTTGTTTTCTCAACCTTTTCCATATTTTATATATATTGTCTCAAATAATAATTAAATTTATTATAATAAATCACTCACACATACATTCATTTTTTATTTTATTTATCAACTCTTAAAATAATATTTGTTTTTTTTTATTTATAATAGAATCAAGAAAAAACAATAATAATTGAATAAAATAAAATAAAATAAAAAAAGCAAATAAATAAATAATTAAATAAAAAATAAACAATTTTTTTTAAATAAAAAAAAAAAAGAAAAAAAAAAAAAACAACTAGTCTTATAACCTTTATTTATTAAAGAATAGGACAATAATTAAATAGTTTATAGTTTTTTTTTTTGTATTTGGAGACACCTTTATTAAAAAAAAAGATATTAGAGTTCCTTTCTCTAGTTATTATTTAAATAATATTATTAAATAATAACTTTTTTTTTCTTATCTCCTTTTTAAAATTGAATATAGTTTTTTTTTTTCTGTGGTTTAAAATACACACACATAAAAAAAAAGCATACACATACTCTTTTTTTGTAAATAGAATATCACTCCCCTTTTTTTAAAAAAGTTCTTGATTATAGAGTATAAATTTAATTTATATACTTGATTATTAATCAATTAAATATTATTTTTTTTTTTTTTTTAAAATAAAAATTTTGATTGGGTTATTCATCGTTTTTACGAAATAAAACTATCGATTTTTTTCATAACAAAAAAAAACAAAAAAAAAAAACTTGCCACAAAAGTAGAACGCACTATACCTTTTTTTTATTATTAAAAAAAAAAAAAACGGAATTGTTGGTTATCATCTTTAGTTTTTTATTTAAATATACCAATTCTTTAAATTATTTCATTTTTATAGATTTGTAAATCTAATCAAAAATTTAATAATTTAGTTGGTCTGTGACGATAATCCTGACTTTTTAGATAGATAGATAGTACTAGTAGTAAAAACAAAAGCTTAGTCCAAAAACTTTGTTTTCTATAAAATATAAAAGGTAGGTGAATAACCATAACAATTCCAGAGGGTATAAAATAATTTATGATTCAATTTTATAAAATTGGATTATAGTTATTATTTAAACTTTTTTAAAAAGTTTGTGTGTTTTTTTATTTTTTATTTTTTTTTTATAGTAATAATATCAGCAATAATAATAATAATAATAATAAAAATGTGTGTATGTCAAGTGTGTGTTTTAAAAAAAGGGGTAATCATAAAGCACAGGTTATTTTCAATTTCATTTAAACAGCGCTCAATAATGATAATTTAAATATCTTTTTTTTACTTATATCTCATCAGTTGTATGTTTTTCGTTAACGAAAACAGGTTTCGATTTTTTTAATTATTTTTATTTTTTAATTTATTTTAATTTTTTTTTTTTATTTTTTTTATTTTAATTTTTTTGTTATTTTTTTTTTTTTAAATTTTATAATAATTAATTAAAACACTTTTATTTTTGGATATTCCACTGCCATTTATTTATTATTGTTTTATATTAATAAAAACATAAATTTGTTTTTTATTTTTGTATTGATACCTTTTTTTTTTTTTATTGTTATTCATAATATTTTTTTTTAATTTTATAATGATATAAATAATAGATTTTAGATTTTTTTTTTTTTATTTATTTCGTTCAGAAAAATTATATTTTCATTTTTTTATATATATGTAATATTAACTTATTTTTCTTTATTAAAGATGCCGATGGAAGTACAAACCCAAACTACTTCACCACAAACTATAAATCCAATACCTTCATATGAGGTATTATGGAATAAAGCTATATCAAGCTCTAAACCAAATTTAACCGATTGTATGTAGTATTTTTATTATTAAAAAATAAAAAATTTACAAATACTAATTTTTTTATTTTTCATTTATGTTTCTTTAGTAATAAACTTTGATTGGACACAATCAGAACAAACAGTTAATAATTTTGTAGATTTTTTAATAAATTTGGTTTCATTTAAATCAACATTTGCTTTCGAATGTTTTAATATATTAATAATTGCTTTTGAACCATACAAGATTGCTATTAAAAATCAAAGTAAGGTTTCATATGAAAAATGGGAATTAATATCTATGAAAGTCCATTTTTCTTTTAATAAAATTTTATCAGTTATTCCACTTAGTTCATCTATATTAGCAAAAATTATTGTAAATAAATTCCCACATAAATCACATCCAGCCGATGTTCAACATTTCTATTTAAAGAATGCACTCTATGTTACACGTTACTGCCAATCAATTAGTCAAACTATTATTTCAGCTGCCATCTCCTCAATGATCCAAATAGATGTTTCAATTTCAATTGATGAAATGCCAGATGATGAAGATTTACAATTCGATATAGAAGGTTCCGAAACAAATACTGCAGAAGAACAAGAAGGTAAAATCAATGCACAAAAATTAGATATCCTTATGAACTTGATGCTGGATTATCTTGATGTTAGGTTTGGTATTGCAAAGAAAGATTCTGGTAATATATTTTATTTCGCTGGCTGTGAACAACAAGATATTCAAACTCAAGACGAAATATTCAATAATTTGGTCAAAGTTTTCGATTCAACAGTACTCCCAACCTACAAATCAAAATATACTCAATATCTCTTATTTTATATTTGTCGTATACAGCAAAAGAACAATAGTTTTCCTCCACTAAATACAAATCTGTCACTACTATCACAGTTGCCGACAATATCATCATCTTTATCATCCAACTACAACAACAGCAGTAACAGTAATAGTATGATGAGTACATCACCAGTCTTTTACACACCATCATTTAATAAATTAAATAATTCATCACCAAATAGTTATAAAAAATCACCAATTTCATTCCCATCAAGCTGCTCACCAAAGAAATCATTCAAAAACTTTTTACATTTAGATCCAATTAAAACTGATAGCAATACAACTATAATATATGCAGAATCATTCATCAGATATCTTTTTGGTAAACTTTGTAATGAAACTATTCATTCTATGCATAGACACGCTTGTGCCGCTTATATTGGTGGTTTTGTTTCAAGAGCAAGTTATTTACCACACCATATTGTAAAATTAGTTTTCAAAGATCTCTTAGGTTTTGCTATGAATTATGTAGATCGTGTAGATGTCAAGAGCAACCCAAATGTTGGTCCAGATCCATACAATCACTCATTATTTTACTCAGTTTGCCAATCAATTTATTATATATTTTGCTTTAGAAATACAATCATTTTAGAAATTAGCAATGATAAAGAAGATAAAAAGAATGAAAAACAACGTGAATTTTGGCAAGATCTTCATGCAGCCTTTAAAAAGATTAGTACAAGTCGTTTAAATCCATTTAAAGTTTGTCTCAAATCAGTTGTACGTCAATTTTGTTGTGTTTGTTTAAGAGTTGGAATTTTTCAAAAATGTACAGGTATTTTAAAAACAAATAAAAATATTTTACTCTCAAAAACAACCGTTTCAAGTGCATCATCAGCCCCAACCGTTTCAAATAATCAATTCGACTCTTTCTTCCCATTCGATCCATACCTTTTATACCACAGCAGTAAATTCTTTCAAAACTCCTATATTCATTGGAAAGATATTCGTAAAGATGGTGATGAGGAAAATTTAGAGGATTTATCAGATCAAGAAACCGAAGATGAAGATGACATTTTAGATAAATTATCAAGTGAGTCAGATTCAGAATTTTCAGATTTCGATGGAAGTGATACAGATGATGATACAGATGATGACGAAGAAGAAGATGGAAGTGATGCAGATGTAAATAATTTAACTCAAGAATTTATGTCATTTACTCCAACAGAATTCGATTTAAATTATCATATGAAAAATCGAAAATATTATTAACATTTATATATTTAAAAAAAAAAAAACAAAAAAAAAAATAAATAAAAAAAAAACTTTGTAAATTTATAAAACAAATCATTTTTATTTATTCGGTTTTGTTAATTGTTAAAATTTCCACAATTAATTATTTATTTTTTTTATTTTTTATTTTTTTAAAAAATTTAAAATTTTTTTTTCAAAATTCCTTTTTTTTTCATTTTTTTTTTAATTTTATTTAAATTTTAAATTTAAATAAATTGTTTCTATATTTTTTATTCTTGTAAAATGTCAACATTAGCAGATAGATTTTTGGATGATTTTAATGATGTTGATGAATCATTAATAAATTTAAACACAAACAATAATGAAACAACCAAAACAACAACAACTTCAAACAATTCGTTATCAAACGATTTTTTAGATGATATGGGCGAAAGTGACGAGGATGAAAATATGGACGAGGCACAAGATGAAGATGGCGAAAAAGTAGACCCAAATGATTTATTATTGGGTGACCAAGATGACTTAATGATTAATGACGAAATGATCGAAAAGAAACAGAACGATTTAATTAAAAAATATAAAGATGCACCAATCGAATCAATTGCAAAGTTAAATGGGTCACCAAGATTAGCACAGTTACTCGATCGTATAGATAATCAAATGATGAAACCATTACCCGAAAAAGGTGTTAAAACCGGTCAAGATAGTGAGGAACATAAATTAATTGTAGATTGTAACCAAATGGCTCAAGAAATTCAACACGAAATTTACTTAATCCATAAATTTGTTAGAGATAGATATTCAAAGAAATTCCCAGAGTTAGAAAGTTCTGTACAGAATGCTTTAGATTATATTAATGTTGTAAAAAGAATTAAAAATGAAAATGTAAGTAATAAAAACACAAATAATATTTATAATATTATAAAATAATTACTAATATAGTTTTTTTTTTAAAGGATTTATCAAGTGTCGAGTTAAATGATTTATTACCAAAATCAACTATAATGGTATTATTAGTAACATTATCATCAACTACAGGTAAAAATTTGACAGAAGAGGATTTAAAAAAAGTTTTAGATGCATGCGAAATGGGTTTAGAGTTGGATAGTAAGAAAAAGAGAATTTTAAATTATTTAGAAAGTAGAATGTCATATATAGCACCAAACTTATCAGTTTTATTGGGTAGTAGTATTGCATCGAAATTAATAGGTATTGCAGGTAGTATTATTCAATTATCAGTAATTCCAGCAGGTCATTTACAAACATTTGGTGCAGATAAAAAGTCATTAGCAGGTTTTAGTGGTATAAATAACAGAAAGTTCCAATCTGGTTTAATCTCACAATGCGATATTATAAAGCAAGCACCACCACATCTTCAAGTTAAGGCAATTCGTGTACTTACATGTAAAGTATCATTGGCTGCAAGAATTGATGCTCAACAAGAATCATCGTTTTATGGAGAAATGGGACGTCAATATCGTGATAAGGTTTTAGCAGATATAGAGAAATGGCAAGAACCACCACCACAAAAACAAGAAAAGGCATTACCAGCACCAGATGATCGTCCTAAAAAAAGAAGAGGTGGTGCTAGAGCAAGAAGATATAAAGAGAAATATAAGGTCACAGACATTCAAAAAGCAAAGAACCGTATGGCATTCAATGTCGAAGAGAAAACTATTGGTGACACAGGTATTGGTTTGGGTATGCTTGGCGGTGAAAGTGGTAGAGTTAGATTGGTCGCCCAAGAGAAAGGTATTTTAAAGAAACAAAAGAAATTCGAACAAAAATCATATGGTGGTACTGGTACTCAAACAAGTATTAGTGGCCTTTCAAGTGTTGCTATTACTCCAGCACAAGGTCTTCAATTGCAAGTTTCTCAAAATACTCGTGAACAATCAAATAAAACTGAAAAATATTTTTCTTCAACAGGTTTTAAAAGAAAATAATCAATATTTTAATAATTTATATAATAAAATAAAATTTTTTTAAAACTAAAATATATAAAATTTTCTTACTTCAAAAATCATTATTATTACTTTTTAAAATAAAATAAAATATAATCTAAATAAATAAATAATTTTTTAAAAAAAAAACCTATTATATCACAGGTTTGTTATTGAATATATTTATTTTCTTTAATTACAAATATAATTTAAACTTAAACCAAGGCTATCTTGACAACCTGAAGGAAATTCTTCAATAATGGTTTTTACATTATTACCAGAGCAACTTGATTCTTGATAATAGTTTTCGACAAAGTTGGTTTGGTTACAAGTTAATATATAGGAGTAATCTTGGTTAAAAGTAACACAAGTTTGCATATTTTGAATATTAATAGAAAGAAGGGAACTTGGTTGATTCCAATCACAATTGTTTGAAAAAATTGATGAGAGTGTATTTGAAGTTGGAATATTTATTTCATTTTCGTGTACACATGATTGGATCATACCATAATTACATTTATTGGCTGGTAAGGTAGTGTTTGAGATTGGAATTCCTGAACAATCATAGTTGGAGTAAGATTGTGATCTAATATGTTGGCCATCTTCTGAGCAAACCATTTCATTTCTTGTTATAGTGTGACAAAAACCACTTAGGTCGTATGAGGAGCTAAAAACTTCACCTGAACAGGTAAGGTCACTTGGTTGATAAAATTGTGTATAAACAAAATATGGGTTTGATGATGACGATGATGATGATTTAACAGCAACAACAAATACTAAAAGAATTAATGTGAATAGTAATTTCATTTTGATGGTATATTATAAAAAATAATAATAAAAAAAAAAAACACTTTAAAAAAAGTATAACTATTATTAAAATTTCAAAAAATTAAAAAAAAAAACAAAAAAAAACGTCACTTTGTCCCACCTTGGCTCGAAACATAAAATATCTTTTTAATGTTTTTTGTGGGGTAAAAAAAAAGAAAAGTATAAAAAAAACTATTAAACAGATGAATTTAGAAATAATTAAATATTTTATTCTATTTTTAACTTCTCCAATATTGATACCATTTATGTACATATTCAACCATTACAGGGAATAAAGCTGAAACAGATTCATTTAATAATAATAATAAAGAATTTGAGGCTTCTTGATCAGTTAATTCTAATTGAAGTTTTTCTTGGACCTTGAGGATACTTTTTTCTTTATCTTCAGAGATTGAGGGAATTGAAGCATCGGCCATAAGTGCAAAAAGATTAAGAATTAAATGACTACTTTTTCTGAGGATATTATAGGCTTCGCAGCAGAGTTGCTTGAATTTTTCGTAATGCTTACTATTTTCACCACCCATACCGACTACCATTTCTTTGCATAGTTTCATTGGAGGTGGTAAAATCTTTGGATCTTTACCTAAAATGTAACCAAAATCGATGTGGAATAATTTGCCGTTTGGAGTGAGTAAAAGATTATCTAAATGTCTATCGCCAATACCTAAAATATATGTAATTACACAATAACCTGCACAGCTCTTTACAAAATTATCCATAACATCTGGAGCTACACCATATGGTGATTCACTATCTGGATTGTGAGTTTTAAAAAATTTCAAAATTTCCCCATCATATTTGCTGAGTACCGATGCCATAGCTTCACTTGGATTAACCATTTCCACAATACCATCTTCTTCTGCTGTTGCTAAAACTTTGTATGGTGTTAATTTAAGATCTAAATTCTCTTTCTTTAATAAACGATCCATTAAAGATATTAATTGAATAATAAGTTGATCTTGACGAAGGTCATCACCAGTTTTAAAGATAATACCATATTCTTCTCCTTTGGTTGTACGAAGTTTTAAACCAAGTGGTGATTTAGCACTCTTATAAATAGTTGCTTTTTCTGGTACAATACCAACAATTTCAATATCTGGATTAACAGGTAATCTAATTGGAGGAAAATCAGAAAGATCTTTATAGCTGCCCTCTGAGAGCATGTGACGAAGTTTTTCGATTTTCTTTTCTCTTGGGAAGTTCATTGCTTTGAGTTCAACAGAAAGGGTTGATAGTCTTGATACAAAGTTGTTTTGTTGGTTAATTCTTAAGCCATCGGTAGGGTCTAGTTGTCTAAAGAAAGTGTCTTGAAGAGTTTTATAAAGTGAACAGAAACTACTGGTTTTTAATACGGAGTCTACTGTTAAATACCAATAGAAATGACTTCCCAAAGTGAAATTCTTGCTAGATCTTTCAAAAAGAAAACTAATCAATGGTGAGTCATTGATATTACCATCATACTGTTCATATTTTGTAGCTTGTACCAATTGGAGCAAGTAATAGAGAAGCTCTTCATCATCTGCTTTTCTAAGGATATCAACAGCATAACGTCTTACATTTGTAGTGTTCTGATGAGTAAATGCCGAGGACAAAAGTTCTAATGAGTCAGCAATATCTATTGGCTCCCACTTTGGAATAATTGAAAGAGCTTCATTCTTTTGATGTGACTCGCTCCACTCTACACAACGAAGAAACTTGGTAAGTGCTTTTTTATTGGTGGTCAAATAGTATCTAAATCTCCATATTAATAATGCATCTTTACTTGCAACTCTTGTATTTGGTGGGGATTTCAAAATATCGGTTAAACCTTTGAGTTCTGTTAAATTTGGTTTTAAATCTTTATGATCATAAAGATTCAATCTATGATATTTTTGTTCACTTGGATGTTCATCCATTTCGATATCGTTAATTAAAACCAATGATTTCTTTGCATGTAGTTGTAATGGCTTGTATAATGAACAGTTTTGTTGTTTAAATAATACTGGTAGTTCGAATTCTGGTAATTCAATTGTTAAATATATTCTATTCTTATTTAATGAGTCTGATGACTGAAAATATAAAAAAATGATATTAATACTTGATTAAAAACTACTAAAGGTATTATAAATGTTTGGTTTTTACTTACTCTTGATATTTTTTCAATTTCATTTATTGTATATTTATCTAGCCATTGACAGTGATTAATTAGCTTTCTATCATATTTCTTTTTTAATTTTTCTAATCTATATTGTTCATCTTTTCCTTGAATTTGACCTGGTGTTGAGGTATCAGTTTCTCCATCACCCTCTCTATCTTGCCATACTAATAGTTTATGTTTACCTTTTCTTTCGATTTTATTCATACCAAAAACATTAAATGATGTACCACCTATTGGCACCTTTTTGGTTGGTGAGTAAATATCCCAAATTGTAATAACTATCATTGTATCGAATGGTAAATCTTGATGTTTTAATGGAAATATAATAGTTTCATCCCATCTTTATTAAAATATAAAAAAAGTATTAGTATTTTATAAATTTATATAAATAAATAATTAATTTGATGTCACATACTTATTTGAACCTGAAAAGGGATTATATGAGGTATGTTCTGGTTGAATAAGTGGTTTGCTATCTGAATATAATGTACATGTAACATATAAATCTAATGTTGTACTATTATGTAGTTTTTGTTAATATAGGTTTTTATTTACAGTATTGATTGTGTTGGCAATAATATTATTATATTTACTCTCTATATAGCGATGAGTTTTTTAAATAGGGGTCATCAACCCATTTATCTACAGTTTTTGGTGCATTTTCTTTATTTCTCTTTCCTTCTAAACTACATCTGTTATAAAATAAAAATTGTTAGATTATTCTTCAAATTTAGTTTTTTTTTATTTATTATTAATTTTTATTTACAATTTAATTTTATATTTTATAGGTATATCAGAACTATAGTAAAATTTAAAATCTTTTGTAACTTTCATTATAAAAAAAAAAATAATATATAAATATACAAGAAATTATAAAATTATAAAATAAATAAAAAAAAAAAAAAAAATTTTGATATTAATTTTTTTTTTTTTTTTATTTTTTTTTTATAAAAATTATTTTTTTTTATTTTTTAAAAATTATTTTTTTATTTTTAATTTAAAAAAACCTTTTGTGTCCATAATTCTCAAAGGTATACTATAGTATTAGTATTAGTATTTTTAATAAAATAAAATAAAATGTTTTAGTCAATGGTTTAGCTTTATTAATACCCTTGTAAGGGTTCAAAGTGCATTTTAAAATAAGATAATAGTGATGTTAAATAAACTTTAAACAATATTTAAAAAAAGAATTCACTTTTAAAATAAATAATGACCAAAAAAAATATAAATAAAAATAAATTTATTATTCTTTATAAATATTTAAAATAAAAAATATTTAAAAAAATTAAATAAAATATTTATTTAGAAATAAATGAGCAACTACCAAAATGAATAAATATGTTATTTAATAATGAAACTTTTTCTTTTCCTCTATCTACGATTTCAACAAATTGTTCATCAAAGTTGTATTGATCTGTGGCATTTAATGCTTCAATGAATAGTTTAAATTAATCTAAAATCATTTGGATATTATCTGCTTTTTCATTATCTTGAGCTTGGGTTGCAATTTCGTGGTGTTGTACATAGGTTCTTTTAATGAGTTAAATATTGTTTAAATGTTGGCTGTTCTCTTAGTTTCTATTAAATTTTTAATTAATATGTTAGCTATTTTATAAATAATAATTTATATTAATACATACTCAAAAATAATAGAATCATGAGCAAATATAAAAAGATCAGTTTGCTTTAAATGAATTTCTGAAAGAATTGATGTTAGTATTAATGTTTATTCAATTCTCGAAATTTTATCTCCTTTACATCCTCAAATAAAATTTTCCAAAAAGTAGCTGATGCTAAAGATCCAATATATGGAAAGGTTCCAGATTTTTTTACCAAGATAATGTTGGTTTCAAATCAGCTCTTCATCATCAGCTTTTCTATGGATATCAACGGCGTAAAGCCTTACATTTGTACAGTTCTGATGAGTAAATAAGCGTTCTGAAGAGTCATTTTCTAATCTATTTTGTTCTCTTTTCCTGACCTGGTTTTGAGGTATCATTTAGAGATTATAATTATACTCAGTTTGGTTGAAAAATATAGTTTTACCCCCACTCCCCGCTCCCACCCACTTGACTAATTTTTATCCCAGCTATGAAAAAAGAGTAAAAAAACAAAGGAAATGCAAGGATTGAAAAAATTAAAAATATCTATCTTTATTAATTTATAATTTTAAATAATTTAAAAATAAAAAAAAAGATAATAGACATTTTAAAAATAATATTGAAATTAACTTATTTATTTAAAATACTATAAAATCATAATGAATTAAAATTCTTTTTAAACTTTGCTATTGATATGGTTAAGACAATAATTAATAAAAAAATTGTTTTATCCAAAAAAACCCAATATTTTATTTAATAATGAAACGTTTTCTTTTCTTCTAACAACAATTTCACCAAATTTTTCATCAAAGTTGTATTCATCGGTAGCATTTAATGCTTCAATGAATAATTTTAATTGATCTAAAATCTTTTGGATATTATCTGCTTTTTCATTATTTTGAGCTTGAATTGCAATTTCGTGGTATTGTTCATAGGTTCTTTTTAATGAGTCGAGAATTAAACCTATATCTCCTATAACTGAAAGATTTTTAAATTTGTTTTTAAGTTCACTAAATTCGCAAAGTTGTGAAGAATATTGGGCCTTAAGTTTTTTGGCTGAATTGTTTTAGATTGTTAGTTAGTACTGTGTAATATTAATAAGTATTGTATATTATTTATAGTATTTACCATGTTCTTCATATTCCTTTGATTTATTCAAAGCTTCTGTGGTACCTAATTTGATAGCATTATATGCATCTAAAACTTGATCATTTTCAAACCATTCCAATTGATATTTGACGTGAATATGTTGTTTATATGAACATTTTAGATTGCATTTTCTACATCTAGGTAATTTTTTAAAGGCTCGGCAACCGGTAAATATATTTTCACCTTTGATGGGTGTATATTTAACAGAGCATCCTTCGTGGCATACCATATTGAGGCACTCCGGTGCCAAGCATACAGTTGAATAAACACCGCCTGGCCATGGATTCTTTCCCATAATCTTGGCTTGTGGTTTACCATTGATATATGCAAATCCTCTATCCTTTAACCAATCTTCCATTGATATTGATTTTGACTTTTCAATTAATGATGAAATCTTATCATCTGTTAATTCTGTGTAAAGACGTGTGACGGTACTAAGGTTTTCAACTGTAATTGAAAGTTCTTTTAACTTTGAAAGAAGTTCAACTTTAAGTTTTTGTAACATTTTCATTCCTTCTGGCTTGAATGATTTTTGAGAACTAAAGATATGAATAAAAAATTTGGTAATGATTTCTATTTTTTGACTCATTTTTTTTTCAAGTTCATCAGTATTATCAACACCAAAAAGAACTCCACAGTTTTTAATTGCTTCATCTGGTCTATTTGTTTTATTAATATTGTTTAAATGTTGAGCCCTAAAATAAAAATAGTAATGAATAAATATTAATAATAATATTTTAAAAAAAGAAGAATTGATCTATAAAAATAAAAATAAATACCATGGATTGTCCATAAAAAGCAATGGCTTTTCATTAATACCAGGTAACATTTGATTTAATATATTTCTAACACTATCTGCTTGATTATAATTATCACAGAATGAAACAATGGTTGATACACAATTAAGTGCTTCATTTGGTAAAATTGAAAATACAGTGCATAAAACTTTTAATGGTTCAAGAGTTTTTCTAGTTAATCCACCATTTACGACATAGCTGACACTATCAAGATTTTCGAGTTTACCGACATTATTTAAAATTGATTTGATATGTTGATCATCTTTTTCAAGACCTCCAACATCTGCAAAACCTGGTGTGTCAACAATTGTGATACCAAACTTCCACTGATTTCCGTAATAGTATCTGATTTCGTAACGACAAACTGTGTTTGTTTTACTTTCACCAATACCTTGGTTTTCAATATCTTGTGCGCGCAGTGTTGTTGGTGAATGAGCTTGACCTGTTAAAACATTTAGAATGAATTCAATAAATGTTGTTTTACCTGTACCTTTAGTTTAAAATAAAAAATGATTAGTGAATAAAAGATTATTATAATTCAGTCATTATATTTACCAGTCATTCCCATAAATATAAATGAATATTGATATTTCTTATTTGCAATACAAAGTTTATGTAATCTTTTGTACAAATTATGAAAAGCTTTATCATGAACTAGTTCAACTATAACATCTATTTTAATTACATTTTCATCATCTGATGAACAGTTTGTAACTTTGACACTGATCAAATTATCCATATGTTCTTCTTTCCATTCCGAGCAATCATCTGAATTGGTAATATTAACAACTTTCTAAAATAGTGAAAATAATATTAGAATATTATGGTGTATTATTATTAATTTAAAATTTAAGACATACGTCATCATTATAGGTAACTACAGATGGAAAGCTAACATTATCATCTTCCCATTCACCTTCTATTGATTTTAATTGTTCGATGTTACCAATGGCATATCTTAAAATACCTTGACCATGACGTTTACCATTTAAACATAGGCCTTCATATTCTCCACCATTCATATAGTTATATGTTCCTTCATAAATTGGGACACCTTTAATACTTGGGCCAAACCATATTCCATCAGAAGTTTTTAGTTTCTTGCCAACTAAACACTGTGCCTTATCTCTTAGTTCACATACTTTGGTTTTGTTACATGGTATATCATTTCTTATAAAAAAATTAAAATAAATATTAGCCTTTATAGAAATTCTATTAAAAATTAATATTCATACATACTCAAGAATAGTTTTTCTTGAATCCTGAGCAAATTTTAAAAGGACAGTTTGTAGTTGTTTTATTGACGAAGTAAGTTTTGAAGTTTTTGTTTTGAGTTTATCCATATATATATGATTTTTGGAGTTTTCTGAATTTATATTAATCCAAGACTCTAGTTGAACAATAATTTGTTGCATTTCCCAATAATATTTGGCAATTTTTGATTGTTTATTTTTATACTCTTTATGTTGCTCAAATTCCATAAATTCTGACTTTAATTTAATTTTTGATAATTTGATTGCAATTGGAGTAGATGTTTCTGAATTTTCACTAAATGAGCTAATAAATGATTCTAAATCATCTAGATTTTGATAGTTTGGTATATTTTCATTTATAATACCACCCATATCCATTTTTGTTGTGATTTTAATTTGTGATTGGTCTGTATTTTTGATTAGAGATAATACATTTCCAATGTTTAACGATTTTAGTTCTATAAGGTTTTTTTCTAATTTTTTCAATAGTTTCTTATTGCTTTTTATTGAAAAAAATTAATAATATTAGTATTTAAAATTAAATTTATGTTTTTTTTTCTATATACTTACGATGATTGTAGATTGATTACTAAATTTAAAATTGCTCCATATTTAATTTTTTTAACAAAATATAAACCAAATTGATTTTTAAGTGAATCAATATCAACTATCTCAAAGAAATCTATGATTGGTTTGGCTTCTTCATGTAAAATTAAAGTTTTTGAAACAATTACTTTTCTATAAAGAATATTTAATGTTTCACCACTATTTACATTTCCACTAAATAATAGTTCATTTGTGACATTTGAACCATACCCAAAAGCTAAACTAATATCTGGTAATAAAAAATTTTGTTTAGAATAAACAAAAAAAAAAAATTAAAATTTAAAAAATATCACTTACTACCCAATATTTTCTTTGGAACTTTATTCTTTTTTATTAAAACTACATTTTCTATGTGTTTAAGCTCTTTGTTTGATTCTGTATCATCACTTAAAAAAAAAATTAATTTAAAAATAAATTTCTAAATATAAATAAATTTTAATATTATGTTACATTTTTTCTAAGTTAAAAATGTTCTTTTTAAAACAATCTATATCATCAATTCTGAAACCTTTTCCAACAGAGTTTTTATCAAGGATAAAATTTAAAGGACTGAGAAATATTTTCATTTTATTATTTTGATTATTAAAAAATAAAATTATAATATAATAAAAATAAATTGAAAAATTTATACTTTTTTTTTTTATATAAATTATATTTGATTTTTGGTTAATTATTTATTTTAAAAAACTTAAAAATTTTCAAGTTTTTATTATAATTTTATTTATAAATGAGAAACTTAATAAAATTTAAAAAACTTAAAAAAAAGAGTGGGGTTAATTTTAAGAAACTTAATAAAATTTAAAAAACTTAAAAAAAGAGTGGGGTAAAAAATAAGAAACTTAACATTAATTAAAAAACTTATTAAAAAATTAAAATGAAGTTCATACCAAACAATAATCATCACAACATATTTCTTCAAGTTCCCATTGGTCAAAAAAAACAGAACAGGAAATAAATCAAATTATTTTTTATAGTGTTAATACAATATTATTTTTTTTTAACTAATTTTCAAATTTTTTGACCCCTGTCCAAAATAATATATAATATAAAGTTACACTTTTGTTATTTAGAATGATATGAAAAATAAAATGTTTTTAATCATAATTGCAAATAGTTCAAAGATTAGCCAATTATAAAAAATATTCAAATGATTCAGGTAAAAGGAAATATATGATGTAATCCTAGATTTGAAAGTATAAAAATCATTTTAATATAGTTACTACGAATTGCTTTACTAATACCCCTGTTAAGTTTTAAAGTGCAGTTTTTAATAATATAATGAGACTAGATTTTTACTAATACTGATATTAGTGGTTGTTGAAAGTTTATTTAACATCAAAATGTCTGTATTGAAAGTAATTTTTTAATGTCAAAAAAAAAAAAAAAATTTTATTGTATCTATCTTTTTATAATTATTTAAAAATAAATTAATAAAAAATAGAAAAAATATTTAAAAAAATTAAAATATTTATTTAGAAATAATTTTAAAACTTTATAGACCAATTGGGAAACCACCAAAACTACTAAATAAACTATTTAATAGTGAAACTTTTTCATTTCTTCTAACCTTGACTTGACCAAATTGTTCATCAAATTTGTATTCATCGGTAGCATTTAATGCTTCAATGAATAGTTTAAATTGATCTAAAATCTTTTGGATATTATCTGCTTTTTCATTATCTTGAGCTTGAATTGCAATTTCGTGGTGTTGTTCATAGGTTCTTTTTAATGAATCGAGAATTAAACGTATATCTCCTAAAACTGAAAGATTTTTAAATTTGTTTTTAAGTTCGCTAAATTCGCAAAGTTGTGAGGAATATTGAGCTTTAAGTTTTTTGGCTGTATCGTTTTAAATTGTTAATTAGTACTGTGTATTATTATAAAATAGATTTATATAGTATTTATATTACTTACCATGTTCTTCATATTCCTTTGATTTATTCAATGCTTCTGTGGCGCCTAATTTGATAGCATTGAATGCATCTAAAACATGATCATTTTCGAACCATTCCAATTGATATTTGACATGTACATGTTGTTTATGAGAGCAATTTTGGTTACAAATTCGACATTGATTTGTGTCAAAGGCCCAGCACTTTGTAAAAATGTTATCACCTTTGATGGGTGTGAAATCAAGAGAGCATCCTTCGTGGCATACCATATTGACACACTCTGGTGCGTAACATACAGTTGAATAAACACCACCTGGCCATGGATTCTTTCCCATAACTTTGGCTTGTGGTTTACCATTGATAAATGCAAATCCTCTATCCTTTAACCACTCTTCAATTGATATTAATTTTGACTTTTCAATTAATGATGAAATCTTATCATCTGTTAATTCTGTGTAAAGACGTGTTACGGTACTAAGTTTTTCAACAATAATTGCAAGCTCTTTTAACTTTGAAAGAAGTTCATCTTTAAGTTCTTGTAACATATTCATTCCTTCTGGTTTAAATGATTTTTGAGAATCAAATATATTTATAAAAAATCTGTTAATGATTTCTATTTTTGCACTCATTTTTTTTTCAAGTTCATCAGTATTATCAACACCAAATAGAATACCCGAATTTTTACTTGCTTCATCTGGTCCTTTATTTGATCTATAAATATTGTTTAAATGTTGAGCCCTAAAATAAAAATAGTAATGAATAAATATTAATAATTAATAATTTGAAAAAAGAAGAATTGATCTATAAAAATAAAAATAAATACCATGGATTGTCCATAAAAAGCAATGGCTTTTCATTAATACCAGGTAGCATTTGATTGAGTACATCTCTAACACTATCTGCTTGATTATTGTTATCACAGAATGAAACAATGGTTGATACACAATTAAATGCTTCATTTGGTAAAATTGAAAATACATTGCATAACACTCTTAGTGGCTCAAGAGTTTTTCTAGTTAATCCACCATTTACGACATAGCTGACACTATCAAGATTTTCGAGTTTACCGACATTATTTAAAATTGATTTGATATGTTCACGATCTTTATCAAGACCCCCAACATCTGCAAAACCTGGTGTGTCAATAATTGTGATACCAAACTTCCACTGATTTCTGTAATAGTATCTGATTTCGTAACTACAAACTGAGTTTGTTTTACTTTCACCAATACCTTGGTTTTCAATATCTTGTGCACGTAGTGTTGTTGGTGAATGGACTTGACCTGTTAAAATATTAAGAATGAATTCTACAAATGTTGTTTTCCCTGTGCCTTTAGTTTAAAATAATAAATTGTAAGTGAATGATAAAAGATTATAATTCAGTCATTATATTTACCAGTCATTCCCATAAATATAAATGAATATTGATATTTCTTATTGGAAATACTAAGCTTATGTAGTTTTTTGTACAAATTTTGAAAAGCTTCATCTTGAACTAGTTCAACTTTAACATCTATTTTAACTACATTTTCATCATCTGATGAACAGTTTGTAACTTTGACACTGATCAATCTTTTCTTATGTTCTTCTTTCCATTCTGAACAATCATCTGAATTGGTAATAATAACAACTTTCTAAAATAGTGAAAATAATATTAGAATATTATGGTGTATTATTATTAATTTAAAAATTTAAGACATACGTTATCATTATAGGTAACTACAGATGGAAAGCTAGCATTATCATTTTCCCATTCACCTTCTATTGATTTTAATTGTTCGATGTTACCAATGGCATATCTTAAAATACCTTGACCATGACGTTTACCATTTAAACATAGGCCTTCATATTCTCCACCATCCAAATAATTATATGCTCCTTCATAAATTGGGACACCTTTAATACTTGGACCAAACCATATGCCCTCAGAAGTTTCTACTCTTTTGCCAATTATACACTGTGCCTGATCTCTTAGTTCACATACTTTGGTTTTGCTATATGGTATATCGTTTCTAATAAAAATTTTAATTAATACGTTAGCCTTTAAAGGGATTTTATAAATTATAGTTTATATTGATACATACTCTAAAATAGTTTCTATGGAATCCTGAGCAAATATTAATAGGTCATTTTGTAGTTTTTTAATTGACGAAGTAAGATTTGAAGTTTCTTTTTTGAGTTTATCCATATATATTTTATTTTTGGAGTTTTCTGAATTTATATTAATCCAAGACTCTAGTTGAACAATAATTTGTTGCATTTCCCAATAATATGTGGCTATTTGTGATTCTTTATTTTTATACTCTTTATGTTGCTCAAATTCTATAAACTCTGAAGTTAATTTGATTTTTGATAATTTAATGGCAACAGGAGTTGATGTTTCTGAACATTCATTAAATAAATTAATAAATGATTCTAAATCATCTAGATTTTGATAGTTTGGTATATTTTCATTTATAATACCACCCATATCCATTTTTGTTGTGATTTTAATTTGTGATTGGTCTGTATTTTTGATTAGAGATAATACATTTCCAATGTTTAACAATTTTAGTTCTTCAATATTATTTTCTAATTTTTTCATTAGTTCTTTATTACTTTTTTTTATTGAAAAAATAAAATATTAGTATTTAAAATTAAATTTATGTTTTTTTTTTCTATATACTTACGATGATTGTAGATTGATTACTAAATTTAAAATTGCTCCATATTTAATTTTTTTAACAAAATATAAACCAAATTGATTTTTAAGTGAATCAATATCAACTATCTCAAAGAAATCTATGATGGGTTTGGCTTCTTCATGTAAAAATAAAGTTTTTGAAACAATTACTTTTCTATAAAGAATATTTAATGTTTCACCACTATTTACATTTCCGCTAAACAATAGTTCATTTGTGACATTTGAACCATACCCAAAAGCTAGACAAACATCTGGTAATAATATAGATTGTTTAGTAAATATATGCATCTTTTTTTTATTTAAAATAATAGTAATATAAATTAAAATATACTACTTACCACCCATTATTTTCTTTGGTAATTGATTCTCTTTTATTAAGACTACATTTTCTATGTGTTTAAGCTTTTTGCTTGGTATTATATCACTAATAAAAAATTAATAAATTATAAAAATTATAAATTATAAATTATTATATTTTAAAAAAAATAAAAAAATTTAAATTTTAAAAAAATAAAAAAAATAAATAAAAAAAAAATAATTGAAATTAATATTATCAAATAAATTATAAAAAAATATTTTTATAGTTACTTTTTTTCATAATTAAATACATTATTTTTTAGACAATTGATATCATCAATGCTGAATCCTTTTCCTATTGAGTTTTTATCTAGGACATAACTAAAAGGACTTAGAAATATTTTCATTTTATTTTTTAGATTATAATTATAAAAATTAATATAAAATTATATTGAAATAAATGAAAAAAATTGATTGAATTTATATTTATTTTATGTATTTAAATTAATAGAAACTTTATTTTAAAAAACTTAAAAAAAATTTCAAGTTTTTTATTATAATTAATTATATTAAATAAATATTATTTGAATTTCATTTTTTTAAGTTACCCCCTCACCCCCATTTTCATAAGTAGTAAATCTATTTTAAGATATAAACTTAAAAAATAATATGTATGAAGAAATGAAAAAAAAAAATAAAAAAAAATAAAATTAAATACATTTGATAAATTAATTTCAAAAAAAAATAAAAAATTTAAAAATTTAAATGTTAAAAATGAATTTTGAAATTATTAATTTGTGAGTATTGAATTTTTTGTAGAAACTTTCAATTCTTTTAATAGTAACAGTGGTTAAATGATTATTTTTTATTTATATTATTTTAAAAAAGTTTTCTTTTTACCCTAAAAATACATTTTATTTTTTTAATACAAAATCTTTAGGGTTAAATTAATTATTGATGTTTTTGTTTTTGTTAAAAAAAATTATTATAATAAATATTAATGATTATATCATTGATTGATTGTGAATTGATTTTTGGTTTTAAACTTTTTAAATTGAAACTTTCAACAAAAATATTTAACTCTTTGAATGGTAAAAATTTTGAATATAATTTGATATATTCTAAAATATTTGAAATATATGTTTGATCAAAAATTTTGATTGATAATGAGTATAGGTTGATTGATGAATATTTGGCTAATAAATTTAAAATATAGAGATGATCAAGGTCCTGGATTTCAATTATTATGTTTCTAATAGTTTTATTTTTGGTTAAAACTTTTTTTATAATATCATCGATATTAACTTCATTGAGAACTAGTGTTTTGATAGTCTTTGATCTTGCTAATGAGCCCAACAAATGTAAATCATAAAAGTCAATTCCATCCAATGAAAGAGTTTCAATAGATGTGTGGATACTTGTTAAAATTAAACCCAAACCGTAGGTGATGAAGGAGGTATCCAATTTTTTGTCATAGCAACAATAGGCATTTGCACAGAAGTTTGTTAAAACAAGTTCTTTGATTGTTGAATTATTTGACAATGTATTTACCATTTCATTCCAATGGTATTCAATCATTTTAATATCGAAGAAACTTTCGTGGTCATCGCAGTTATTTTTACCTATTTCCTTTTGTTCATCATTAACGAATCTAATGATATCATGGTATAGGATTGGGATGGTCAATGTTTTGAGGCTGGTTGTAAAATTGTTGATATTTGCAATTTCAGATGGCTCGATATGGTCGGAGAACAATACTTTGATGTGCTTTAAATAATTCGACTGAAAAAGTTTTAAATAGCTACAGTGCAACGAATCTACACCATAATATCTTGAATATGGGTCATAACTAATCTTTTTTGGGTTTAGAGCGACTATTTTTCCTAATAAACCAATTTCATTATAATCTATACCGGTAATCTTGACTTTGTTTATTGTACTGACACCATCTTGATATTCGTAGTCAAAGAATTTTGAATATTCATCTATAAAAACAGATATATTGAAACTGATGTTTTCTGGGTAAAAATTTCTATATTTTAACATTTCTATAGAGTCATCTTGATTGTCTATTTTAATCAGTACCTTTTTGTAACGCATAGCATTAATGGCATCCATTTCATATTCTCTAAGAGAATTGTACTTGGTAAACAATCTTAAATTCCTTACCAACTTGAATGGTCTATCTCCATTTAAATCATAAAATCTATTTAAAATTTCACAATTTCTTTTTGAATAAATTATTGAAAGGTTACCCGAAACCAATTTAAACCATGACTTTGAAACCAAGCAATAGTTTATTATTTCTGTATAATTGGTAATATATTTTTTTGATTGAAATAACCTTTTACAAGTATAAGGTTTTTTATATGCATGGGAAATAAGAAATGATATAATACAATCATATATATATATAAATTTAATTGTCATTTTAAAAAAATATAAAATATAAGTATATTATTTATTATATAATAAAATATGTAATATAGAAAACCAAGCAATAACAAATAACAAATATAAAAACAAAAATAAGAAATAAAAATAAAAAAATAAAAAAAACTTAAAAATAAAAAATAAAAAATTTTTGTTATTAAAAAAACAAATACACAACCACACTTGACTTATTAAAATTTCTATGTATTAATAATTTTATTATTTGAAATATATTTTAAATTTCATACTATTTTAAGAACCACTATCACACCTTCAACTGATTAACCCACACACGTACACATAAAAAAAAAAAACAAAAGTTATAATATTTTTATTATTCATATTTAATTTAATTTTTCTTCATATTAAATGTTTATTTTTTTTTTCTTCTTTTGGAATTTCAAAATTTTATTTTTAGACCCATCATGTGTTTAATTTTTATCATTAATAAATTTTATTAAAAAAATAAAACTTTTTTAAATAATAATTATTATTATAACAAATTACAATATTAAATAATTTCAACTATATTATGTGCAGTGTAAATGAGCATTTTTATTTATATATTTTTTTTGTTTTTAGTTTTCCTTTTTAGTTTTCTCTTTATGTAATTTTATTTGTTTTTATATAGCTTCTTCAATTTTTTTTTATATTGTATAAAAGCGATGAATATTAAATATACATTAAGTCATCAGAATTTAATTATTGTTTTTGGTATGTATTTTATACTTGTATGAGATTACCAACCACTCTTCTTATTTATTTAATTTTTGAATGATTCTGAATACCTCTAAATTCATTTAATTTTTTTTTTTTTTTTTTTAAAATTAAAGATAATTAAAAGCAAATGCTTTAAATTAATCAGTAAAATTTTATTTAATGTTTTTTATAAAGTTTTTAAAGAAAATATTTTAAACTGTTGATATTTGGTAATGATTTGATGCTGATGAAGTATGCTCTTGCTATTCTTCTTTTGAATTTTCTATATTCTTCATTGATGTTGCTAATTGTTTGTGGTTGTTTAGCGTGTCTTTCCTTGATGTTTTTTAAACCTTTTAAGTATTATAAAGTAGCTAGCATAGTCCATTTTGAGGTTAGACTCTTGTAATCGAGTTCTTTTATTGTATTTTCTTGATCGTCCTATAATTCTTTACATAACCAAATCCAAACTTGATGAAATACCAGGGCTATGGCATTTCTATAAGCGAAGCATCTAGTTAAGTCGACATTTTATTAAATTATATTAAAAAGGTCAGAATATAACTAAAGTAGCTCCATCTACATTACAAATGGTAATGGATACATCCCCTTTATTTAATTTATTTAATTTTATCTAATCTCCTGGAAGATAAAATCATTACAAAAGCTCCCCATTCGGGAATCGAACCCGAGGTACCAGTGTGAAAGACTAGAGTGTTACCGACTACACCAATGAGGAAATTGGATGTAATATATTTTTTCTTAGTCCCTGGCGAATTTAATTAATATTTAGTTTTATAAATAAAATATATATATAAAATTTTATTCAATTTTCCTCAATAAAATTAATTTTTTAATGCTTTTTATTCTGTTTACTTTTAATTATTTAAAAATATTATAAACAAATTTTAACATAGAGATTTCAAAAAAAAAAACATTACATTTTACAATTTAAATTAAAAAATTTATAAATTTTTATATAAAAAATATAGAAAAAAAAAAAGATTAATTAAAAAAAACATAATGTTCTATTTTAATGATTAATTTTTTAATAGGAAAATTTATTTGCATAGTTAAAAAATAAATAAAATAAAAATAATTCGGTTAAAAAAAAAAAAATTAAAAATTAAAAAAATTAAAAAATTAAAAAAAAATGAAAATTTTTTTTAAATTTTTTTTTAATATTATTTTAAAAAAAAAACGAAAACAAAATGGCAGATAACAATAGTAGCAGTATTACAGAAGAGGAATGGGAAAGTTATGATGAAGATGACATTAATGATAATAGTATTGAAGATGAAGAATACAGTGAAGACGATGATGACGATGTTTTAGTATTTGATAACGACGAAATTAACGGAATGTTAGAAGATAATGAAAATGAAGAAGAGGATGAATCAATGCCAGAAAACATTGATGAGCAAATCGATACTATTCTTCAGAAATTAAATAGTTTTGAAAGGGCACCAAAAAAGAAAAAAGAACCAATAGCAGCTATTAAAGCAGAAACAACCACCACTACTAATAATAACAGTAATAACAATAATAAACAAGAAAACAATAAACAAAAAAATAACAACAACAAAAATAATAATAAAAAAAAAGAGAATAACAACAATAAATCAAATCAAATTAAAGAAAATAAAACAACAACTCCACAACAAAAAGAAACCACAAACACAAAAGAAAAAAAAGATGATAATAATAAAATAAATCAAAAGCAAGAAAAGAAACAACCAAAAGAAGAAAAGAAACAACCAAAAGAAGAAAAGAAGCAACCAATTGATATTGGATTAGATGATTTCTTTATTAGACCAGGTCAAATAGTCACTAAAACTGAACCTAAAAAAGAAGAAGAAACTACTACAGAAAAAAAAGAAACAATAAAAAGAAAATCATTTGAAAGCAACGAACCACAACATCCTTATAATAGAAAAAGACCACAATTTGAAAGATCAGAATATGAAATCAAACAAATAGAAAAAAGAAAAGAATTTTATAATAAAAGTAAAAATCCAAATTACAGCGGTAGTAATAATGATAAATTCAAAAAACTTTCAGATAAAGATAAATTAAAGAAATTTAAACAAACTGTAAATTATAGAAATGTTAACAAGATCGAATCACAAATCTCTGAAAATATTGAATCAAAAAAGAAAAAGATGGAATCATTATTTGTAACCTCATTAAATGATGAACAAGCAATCAAACAAAAAAAGAAACAACGTCCAGGTCAAAGAGCTAGAAAAGCGTAACTATAACCATAAACGACAACCCATTCATATTAAATTTACTAATCCATTTCTTTTTATATTATATAGACTTGCTGAACAAATATTTGGTAAAGATGCCAAACACCTCCAAAAAGAATATGTTAAAAAGAAAAATGAAAATAATAATAATAATAATAATAATAATAACAATAATAACAATAATGATAGTAATAAAGAAAAATCACATCCATCATGGGAAGCTAGAAAGAAACAAAAGGCAGCACCAATTATAGTTGATGGTTTTAGTAAAAATCAAGATATTGTTCGTTTCGATGATTAATTAATTAATCTTTTTAAATAAAAAATAATAAACCTTTTATGATAAGGTTATAAAATTAAAATTTTTAAAAAAAAAATATATTTATTACTTTTCTTTTTTTTTTTCTTTTTTTTCAATCTAATAATGTATTTATACATTAAAAGTTAATTTAAATTTGAATATAATATATAATCTTTTTTACTACTTTTTGCGATGAAATATACTAAAATAAAAGCTGGTACCTTAAAACAAGTTAAAGCAATATTGATAACTGAATAAGATGCACCTACACTATTATTTAAATAAACAAATAAATACTATTGTAAAAAAAATATTTGAATGGTTAGTATTAATTTATAAATGAATTTGAAAAAGGATATAATAAATAGTACTTACTTCTAATAAGCCAATTAAAGCTGTAACAATTGATGATAAGCCCATTAATTTACCATAGTTATTATTACCAAATATATGGAAGAGGTAAATGAAATAGAAACCCCACAAAGAGACATTTAAAAGAGATGCAAAAAAGAAAGCTCCAAGCTGAACTCGGTCAATTTCAATTGATGATAAAATACCAAATACAATTGAGGAGAAATTAACAAGGAAACAATTCATGTACAATTTAGTTTTGACCATAATATATCCAACAAATGGTACCAAAATTAAACCACCACTCCATGTATAATTAAATATATCTACATATTTTTGATCTACAGTATAAATAAAAAATTAGTAAACCAACATATAACCAAACCTATACTTTATGATTACTTACTATTTGAAAACATTCCATTAACAACACCCATATAATAGACACAATGAAGTGAATTTATACTCATAAAATAACATAAAGAAAAGAATTCTTTTGAAAATATTTGGGTAGAGAGTGGTTGATCTTTAACTGGTGATAAAATAACCTCGCCAACATCTTCAATATCATCACTGCCAATAATACTACCATCATTGTTATTACTACTATTGTTTTCATCTGGAATAGATTCATCATTGTTGTTGTTGTTGTTGTTTGTGTTGCTTTCTGTTTCTTGATTACCAAACACACATTGCTTATTTTTAAAATCTGAAAATGGTAAAAATGGTTGATTTTTTAATAATAACCAAGTTGGGATGAATAGTGGCAAAAGTAAACCCATATAAACTAAAAATATATAACTTATTTTGATATCATATTTATTTGCAATTATTTGAAATATCTTGAAAATGATTGATGAACCTACAAACATACCAGAGAATGATGATGAAATTGCAGATGATGTTTTTGGGAATAAATTGCTAATATGTAATAAACTAACTTGGCATGCTGGACCACCAGTACCAATGAATGCAAAAGATACTATATATAAATTGCTTTCATATAGATATGATATAAACCAAAGTACAAATCCCAACACCAATAATATAAAAGCTAAAAAATTTGTTTTTTTGGGTCCATATCTATCATAAAGTGCACCTGTTAAAAATGCAGACCCTGTTGCTGTAAATGCACCAATTGTATAAACTAAATTTAATCTTGATGATTGTTTTGGGCATGGTACCTAAGTATAATTTATAAAGTTATTAATAAAATAATAATAGTAATAATAATAATAATAACATAAATATACTTACAACCTCGTCTTCACCACATAAATATCTAAATGTATTTTGTTGGATTAATTCAGTTTCTAATGCAGGCCAACCAAATACTATACCTGAAACCAATAACATTTGAAGTGAGGATAAAATCAATGCAACATATCTTGCTTTGCTTGTATAAAGTGATATCGAATAGCCTGCATCATTTTTTATTTTAAACTCCTCGTCTTCAATCAGGTCATATTTTTTGCTACTTTTGCTGCTACCACTACCGGCATTAACCATTTTTTTTTTTTTTTTTTTTTTTACAACTATAAATTTATTTATTTTATTATTTTTTTTTATTTTTTAATATATAAACATAAATTTTTAAAAAACAAAATAAAAACAAATAATTTACAATATGAAAATATTATTATTAATATTGATAATAATATTATTAATTTTTTTAAAAAAAAAAAAAGGTTGTGATTAATTTAGTTTTGGTAATGATAATAGTTTTTTTAAACCAAACGACTTTTAAGACAAAAAATTTTAAAAAAAATAAAAAAAATAAAAAAATAAAAAAAAATAAAAAATTAATATTTCTAAATTCCACACATATATATTAAATTTCAAATTGGAATGTTCCTTATGATTCTAAAAATAAAAAATACCCAGTTACCTAAAAAACTAATATTAAAAAAAATATATAAAAATAAATAAACTTAAAAAAAAAAAAAAATTTATCGTGTGGTTAAAATTTTTTAAACCACACAAAATTTATTTATTTTAAAATATAAAATAAAATTTTATTTTTTTATTTATTAATGTATATCTATAAAAGATGGACATGGTGGTGAAAAAGTTATCATATTTATAATACTCTTTGCCATTGGTGAGGGCTTTTCTAATGAGTTTGGATCACTTTTCTTTTGGAAATAGATAACTTCATTTTCTTTTGAAAAAGTGTTGCTTTCGTTTTGAATTTCTGTAATTAAACCATTTAAAATATTTGCTATTCTTGTTTCAGACTATCAAAAATGTTAATATAAAGCAATATTATTATAAAATCATTAAAATAAAATACTTACTGGTTTTTTAACTTTTAATAATGGTAAAGCAATTGAAAAATAACCTAATGCATCACCAAAATTTCTATATGAATTATAAATATTGGTTAAATTATTTCTAAGGGTAAAAAGTGAAAATATATATATACGTACTGTTGGGATTTTGAATTTAAAGCCATAAACATCATTGTTGTTGAATGTTGTAGTTTGATTAAAGTTGAATAATAAGTTCTTAGTGATTTTGGTAATTTTTTATAAAATTGACTACCCAAGTCTTTTAAGAAACTTTTTGACATTTCAGCACGGTGCCATGCTTCACAAGAGAGCTTTGAAATTACACCTGGTGAAGTACCTTGTTTAAGAGCTTTTCTAACGGTAACTGCCAATGCTGTTGATAAACATAGTTCGTACATTGCCAATATGAAATTGTTATGACATTCAACTGGACGATCTTCTGGTGGGTGTTGCCAACGTGGCATTTCAAATGATGTTATAAAATTATAAATACCTGCTGCTATCTTTAAATGATTAATTATTAACTTTGCATTCTCGTCAAAATTTGCTTCATTTGATGAATCATTAATCTCGGCTGCACGATTATAATGAGCAAACCCATAAGTAACTAAATTCATTATTAATTCGAATCTTAATGAAAATCCACTATAAAAACTTTTACTTGCTATTGATGACCAATTGAATGATAATTGTTCATTTAATCTAAGTGTGTTATTATCCTCAACAGCTGTTGGTAAAAAAAACAAAAAAAACATTAATATATTTTACTTTAAATAAATCATCAAATTTAATTAATTGATTTATAGTAACATACTTGAAACTAAACCATATAAATCTGGTATATATTTTTCACAAGCCTATAGTTAAAAAATAAAATTAATAACCTTTGTTCCAATTTAATTGAATCCCATTAAAGCCCAATTGTTTACTTACCATTATAATTGAAGATGGTGAACTTTTTTCGATAATAATAATCATTTCATTTCTTGTTAAAGATGCAGTTGCTAATTTTGATGCAGATTCTGGTGTTTGGGTTCTAATAATCTTTTCAAATTGAATCCTCTTTGATTGTGGAATTTCAAATTTTATCATTAATAGTTTCCATGGCTTTTCAATTTCGTTCATTATTTAGAAATTTTTATTTAATAGTACTATTTTATTTTATAATTTATTTTATTTTTATCCTATTATTATTATAACTCTATGTTTAACTGAAAAATATTACGAATCTTTATTTATTTATTTATTTTTGTTTAAAATTTATAATAAAAAACAAATAATTTTAATATAACATTAATATTAACTTAAATTATATATAATGTGTTTAAATTAATATATTTTAAAAAAAAAAAAATTAAAAAAAAAATTAAAAAAAATTAGAAAAAATTAAAAAAATAATATTTTATTATTTATTGTTTTTTAATTTTCAAAAAAAATATTTATTAATTTTTTAAATTATTTTTGAAAAAAAGGAATAATTAACTTTGATTTAAATATTTGGAAAAAATAATAAAAACATTTATAAAAACAAATAAAAATAATAAATAAAAATTAAAAAAAAAAAAAAAATTAATATTTAATTTAGGATGTATGAAGATGACTATTTTAGTGAATGTGAAAACGAAAGATCCTCAACAAGCTCCAAAAGTGAGGAAAATGAAGATAGTGATGACCAATATGAAGATGACTATGATAATTCAGTGAGTGATCCATCATCAGATGATAAAACCGGTAATAATATAAAAAATGATGAAGATTATCAATACAATGAAAATAAAAGATATTATCTCGGTCTAAAAAGAAATATGTCATGTGCTTTTAAAAACAAAAATAAAAATAAAAATAAAAATAAAAATAAAAATAAAAATAAAAAAAACGATATCCCAAATGAAATTAATATTACTAATAATGGTGATAATAAAGAAATTATAGAGATTGATGAAAATAGAAATATTATTAAAGTTCCAAAAAACTTACCAAAGAATTTTAAACCATTTGACGGTTCATTTCTAAAAGTTCCAGAATTCTATAAAAGTCCATCAGCATTAAGCAGCCACTTTCAAAACAAATCTTCCCAATTCAACAAAAACCATACAAGGATTAAATCAATAAACAATAGTAATGCCACTAGTGACCAATTATTGAAGAAAAAATTAGAAAAAACTTTATTTTGTAAATGTCCAACTCTGGCCCTACCAAATAATATTTTAAATAAAATTGTAGAAAAAAAACCAAATGCCCAAAAAAAATTAAGTGCAGTGGTTGGTGGAAATGGAAGCACCAATAGGGAAATTGAATTTCATTCAAATGAAATAATCTCAATTATCAACCAATTTAAAATTTATGACTCTTTAATTTCATATTATAATAAAGATCTATTTAATTAGGAAAATAATTTTTTTTTATTTTCTTTTTTTTTTTTTTTGGGGAGGTGTATCGGCGGTATTAGGAAATTTGCGAACCTGGGGTTTTTTTCTACAACTTTTTCAAAAAAAACCAAATTAAAATAATAATCCAATAATGAAAATAATATTGGCAAAAAAAAAAAATTAAAAAATTAATAAAAAATAAAAAACTATTTCCTACTATTTGCAACGTACACAAACCCAAAAGATATTTTTTATATGGGAGAGAATCAACTTGAAAAAAAAAATAAAAAAAAAAATAAAATAAAAAATAAAATAAAATAATTTTTTATTTTATTTTATTTTATTTTAATTTTTATATTTTTTATAAAATTTTTTTCTTTTTTATTTTTTATTTTTTTTTTAAATCAATCACACATAATTTTTAAAATATAGGAGGAAGAAATTTAGAATTAATTAATATATTTATTTATTCATTTTCATTGTATATATAATTTTTTTTTCTTCTCGGTTATTTGTACTATAAAAGCAAGAAAATAATAATATAAAAATAAATTTTCTTAAAATGCAAAAGAAAATTATTTTATCTATTATTACTTTTGTAATATTTTTAATTTTTGCAGGCTCAACCCTTTACTTAAGTTTAGCTGTTTTAGAACCAAGTGTAAGTTAACATATTGAGAAAGAAAAAAATGGTTTATATTTATTTTAAAATATTAATTTTTTGTTATTAGATTAAATTAGGATCGGGCTATACCAAAACATCATGTTATGTTAAGAGCGTAGACACAGATGTAACAGGTGGGGACTGTATGTCCGCAAATGATCAAATATGGTAAGGATTTATTTTTAGAACAGAGGAAGAAAATTAAAATGAAAAAAAATAAAAATAATTAATAAAATTTTTTTATTTATTATAGGTGGTATTCATATTGGGGACCATCATATTTCTTCATTTATGTATCACCAACTGGATCAACTGGATGGGACGATGGTGGTGGTGATGATGGTGGTGATGATGGCGGTGGCGAAAGTGGTGATGGTGGTGAAAGTGGTGATGGAGGTGATAGTGACAGTGGTACTGGCGATAGTGACAGTGGTTCAGGTGGTAGCGGAGGTGGTAGTGGTGGTGGTAGCGGAGGTGGTGGTAGTGGCGGTGGTAGCGGCTTAATGGCAGTTGCCAATAGTTTAGAAGCCTCAACCACAAGTGGATCAAACACACCAACTCAAGAAATCTCACATAGAAAGACAGCTAAATTAACCAACTCCACAACAGGTTATGCACCAATCAGCGGTTCATCAAGCAGCAGTTCAGGTTATGGTTCATGTTTCCAAGGTGTTTTTAATGTCCAATATTATGGAACCAATAAAACACTTATCGACACATCAATTTATGGTTTAGTTTCAGGTAACGAAGATTGGGTTGATGCTTATATCAATGAATTTAATGTTTCTAGTACCTATTATTGTTATTACAACACATACAACCAAGATGATGCCTTATGGTTCCAACCACCATCATACAATCAATCAAGCTTAATAGGCACAATTGTTCTTGCTTCACTCGCATCGTTATTTTTAATTATTTCAATTGTTTTATTTGTTTTAGGTATTCAACAAGGAAACAATCACCACCAACACAAAAATAACAAATACAAACCAATCAACAACAACAAGAACACATCCTCATCATATGGCAACAAAAATAAATCAACTTATGAAAGCTATCACAAGAGCTCTGGTTCATACCACGGTGGCTATGAAACTTACCAAGCCAACAACCCACCACCACAATATGTTCCAGTATCCTATTACCAATATAATCAAGGTGTAGCTCAAATGAATGGTCAACCAACCAACAACAACAACAACAACAACAACAATATTTATTTTACAAATCAACCACCAGTTTATAACAACAATATTAACTAATTTAAATTCAATTAATTCAAATTAATAATAATCAACTATTTTTTTATTCTTCAAAATACACTCATATATAAATAATTTCAGTTTATTTATTTTTTTCTTTATAAATAATAAATGAAAAAAAAAAATATAATTTTAAATTATCAAAAATAAAAAATAAAAAAAAAAGAAATGAAAATCATTATTATTTATAATCAATAAAATAATAATAATAATAATAATAATAATTATTCTAAATCAATAATTAAAATACTCTATTTTTAAAATTCATTTTTGATTTTATTTTATTTTTTTTATTTTTTTATTGTTTTTTAAACCCCACATCAGTTTTATTTTTATTTATTTTATTTCAAATAATTTTAATGAATTAAGTTTTGATCATCCAAATTTGAATTAATTAACAATAATATAAATAGAAAATAATTTTACAATTATATTCAAATAAAATTTTTATAAATCCTTTTTTTTATTTTTTAAATTTTTAAATTTTTTTTTTTTTTAAAAAAAAGTTTTTTTTCATTTTTTTTTTTTTTTCATTTTTTTTAACCAATATTTATTTGTATAATATATAATTCTTTTATTTTATTTTTTTTTTCTTCGCATAAAATAAAACACACTTTCACACTCACACGTTTTTTTTTATTTATTTTTTTCAAATTGTATACCACACAACACCAAAATAAATATTAATTATTTCTGTGTTTATTGTATTGTATTAAATTCCTCCAAATTTCAAACTTTAAACCTTCCCAAAAATAACAAATTATATATATATATCATCAATAACACCGCACTAATAACTTTTTTTTATAATTAAATTAATTTTTAAAAAATTACAAATTTAATAACATCATTGTACATTATATAACATAAAAAAATTGTTTTTTTTATTTTTTTTTATTCAATTTATTATATTTTTTTTTTTCACTCCATTAAATAATAATAAATACATTACATTTTTTTTTTTGTACACTTAAATTATAAATACATAAAAACATAAAACTATATAAAAATTTTTAATATAGTTTTTAAATAATAAATAAAAATAGAGGACATAGACAATAAAAACCATATAGAAGATGAAGTGGATGAAGGAAAACCGATTTCAGATGAATCAGCGGATATAGATATTAAAGATATAGTTGTTGGAGATTCTATTGGCTCAGGTTCATATGGTATGGTATATAAAGGATTCTATTTCAATTCTGATGTTGCAATTAAAAAGATTCCTGGTGATCATCAAAAAGAATTACAAAAATACTTAAAAAGAGAAGTAGCAGTTTTAAAGTAAATATAAAAAAAATAAACAACAGGGTTCACTTTTAATAAAATATTAATTTTTTTATTTTTCATTTTAATAGAAATATTCAACATCCAAATATTGTACAGTTTATAGGTGTTTATTATGATCAAAATACAGGTCCATCATTGGTTAATAGAATTTTAAATGCAAACTCAACTTGGATTGTAACAGAATATATTAGTGGTGGTAATTTACATGAAAAAATAAAGGATACCAAAAATGAATTCCCATTTGCATTAAGAGTTAAATTATCTTTGGATATAGCTTTAGCAAGTATGTATATAAAAATAAAATTTAAAAACTATAGTTTATTAATTTTTTTTTTTTTAAAAAAACTAGTGGCATATTTACACAGTAGAGATATTATTTTTAGAGATTTAAAAAGTAAAAATATTTTAATTGACGATTCATCTTCACCAATTCGTGGTAAAGTTTGTGATTTTGGGTAATTATTTAAATTATAATTGTTTAAATTTTTAAATTTAATAATCTAATATAAACCATTTTTACTTTTATTATTTTTATTAGGTTTGCTAGAATTTTAAATAAAAAACAAGGTGGTAATAGACATTTATCTATTTGTGGTACAGATGATTTCATGGCACCAGAAGTTATTTTAGGTATGGAGTATGACGAAAGAGCAGATATATTTTCATTTGGTGTTGTATTGTTAGAAATGGCGATAAGAAAAAAAGTTTCAAAAGTATTAGAAAGGGGTCCACAAACAGTATTTGAAATTGATCAAGATAAAGCTCGTGAATTAATTCCTGAGGATATTCCAGAGCTTTTTTCAGAGTTGGCCTTAGAGTGTATAAAACATCAAGCGGAAGAAAGACCAACATTTTCACATATTATTAATGTCTTAAAACAATTATCATCACTTTATCCAGTAGTTCACACCTTTGATAATCCATTATCCCCAACCTCATCACCAATAACACCAAGAAAGAACTCATTAAATTCACCATTTTCAAAAGCTATGAGAATGAATTCGTTCGATTTCAATTTATCAACAATGATCCAAAGTCCAAGTGTAAGAAATAATTTAAAAAATAATAATTTTAATTTTAGTTTAAAATTAAATCAATTAAATCAGCAGCAACAGCAGCAACAACAATCGCAGCAACATCCACCTAATCAACAACAGGATACAAATCATAGTGACAGTACAAATTATGACGATTTAAAAAATAGTTTACCATCAATTGATAATGAAAAAAGCGGTAATAATATTGATGATTTACTCGAAGAAAATGAAGAGGAAGGAGAAGAAGAGGAAGACTTGGATAAAGAGGAGGAAGAAAATAGAAAAAAAGTAGAAAATTTAAAAGAGAAAATGTTAGTTGTATTAAATGACTTTTCAGTTTACATCAACAATATAGGCAAAGATTTATTAATGATTACCGATGAAGAACAGATTTCAAATCATTACGACGAATGTAGAAAAGTAATTGAAATTAAGAAGGTTTTAGGTGAAGTTATCGAGGGTGAAATTATACCCCCAACAACTCCAAAGAAAGCCACACCAAATACTAGAGTAGCCGTATTTTTAAAATCAATGGATAGATCATTACAAGAAATTCATTTAAGTACCGAAGCCTTAAAGAAAAGAATATTAAAAGAACAGGACTTGATTGAATCTTTGTTATTGGCCCGTGTTGTTAGTAAATTAAAAAAAATTCATTTATCAAATTTAGTTGTTGTTTAAATAATTTTAAAATAATATTATTAATAAAACCAATAATATTTAAATAAATAAAAAACACACAATATAAATAATAAAATTTATATTTATAATATATAGAAAAAAAAAAAAAATTTATTTTTAAACTTTGTTATTATCCAAAAATGTTTTTTTTATAATATTTATTTAACTTTTTTATTTTTATTTAGTTATTTTATTAGTCTTTGATTCAATGTGTATTATCATTGATTTAAAAATATTATACATTAATCAATTACCCTCCTTTTAGTGTGAATTATTATAATTATTTTATTTTATTTTTTTTTTTTTTTAATTTTTTTTTTTTTAATTTTGTGTGATGTGTTAAATATTTTTTATTATTTCATTGTTCATGCATACTAATTAGTTTATATAAATAATAGTGTGTTAATATTAATAATAATAATTGTAATAGTAATAAATAAAATCATAAATAGTTTTTAAAATATAAATTTTCATAATGAAAAAAATTACATTTAAAATAAATAAATTAAAAGTTAATAATAAAATTATAAATGGAAATTTTATTATTAGTATACAGGTAGAAAATTATTTTACAAAAGAAATGAAAAATTATTTACAATTAATTAATCAAGATATGGATTTCAATTGTTCTCATTTTAATGATATTTTAAATAAAAAAATGCATATAGTTACAAGGGTAAACAATGAAATTGTAGCATATTTTCAATTGGTAGATTCAAATTTTTGTGTATTAAAAGAAATTTTAAAGGTTGTTAAAATTTTTCCCAATCAAGAAAAAGAAAGTATTGATAATAAAGTATTACTTTTAAATTTTAATAGTGTAAACCCTAAATATAGATCTGGAAATTTATTTTTTTTGTTGAATTTTTTTGTGGCATATAAATTTTCAATCGAAAACAACTATAGTTATATTGGCCATTTAGTAAATTTAGAATCTCCTGCTCAAATTATATTGGAAAAAACAGGTTTTAAAAGAGCATCTTCAAAAGTTTTTAGAATTCAAAATGGTTGGGACTCTTACTTTACAAATATAGACACATATTTTTTCATCTCTCTTAATTTACAAATAAATAAATCAGAATCTTTAAAAATAATAAATAATTTAATAAATTTATCAATATCGAATGACAAAATTAATTTTTATAATTTATTAAAAAATAATATTTTATTTAATAATTTAATAAATAAAAGTAAATTATAATAAAAAAAATAGTTTTCTATTGTATAGTTATTATCAGATTCTTTTTTTTTTTTTTTTTTTAAAAGTGAATTAGATCCTGTAAGTTAACCGTCAATTTGTGTGGTTCATGTATTCCAAATATTTTTTTTTTTTTTTTTGAATAAAAAATAAAAACAATCACTAAGAAGATAGTGAAAAATTATACTGTCGAGTGTGAGGATCGAACTCACGACCTTAGGATTATGAGACCTACGCTCGTACCAACTGAGCTAACCCGACTCTATACACAAATTTTACATACCACCAGTGTACACATACTTTTTTATTATAGTCATTATTATCATATCTTTAGCTATAATTTATTACCACCAATCACAACATCATTCATTTTTTTAACCTTATTTACCACTTTTTATACAATTCATTTTATTTTTACACACTTTTGTTTATTTTTATATAATTTACATATATCACCACATACACTTTCATTAACTGTTTTAAATAAATCCAAAATTTTCTTTGATTTTTTAAAACTTTTTTAAGTAGACGGAATCTAACTGAAATCTCTTTAGCTGATCGTTGTATCTCTTTTATTTATAAATTCACAAACAAAATGTCCACAAATAATAATCAAACTAATGGTGATGGCAACATGGATACTATTGATAGCATTATCTCAACACAAAATAATCAACATTCTACCCAAAATCCATTTTCTCCACCAAATACTCATCAAAACACCCACACAGAACACCCAAAAACTACTCCAAAATTTAATAAATCTCATAACCCAAACAACTCTTTTAACATTTCAAAAAACCAAAATTACAAAAACAAAAATTATCATTCAAACTCATCATTTATTTCAGACCCAAATTTTAAAAAAAAAATTTTAAATAATATTATTAAGAATAATGAACCAATACTATTTTTTGAACTACCAACTACACATCATAACAACATAACCAACATAATCCAAAACTATACTGGTGCGCCTGAGGTAAACCAAACAAAGGATAAAATTATCGCAACATTCACAAATGATTTGTCAAGAGACAGTTTCCTGAAAAATCTTTCAAATCAAAACATTATCAAAATCAAAACTGGTAAAGAAATACTAGAACTTAAATTCACAGTTCCAGAACCATTTGGATTACAACCAAATAATATATCACTTTATACTGATTTTGATGCAATTTTATCACAACTTCTACTAAAAAGAATAAATCCAACAACACTCAAATACATCACCCATATAAACAACATTCAAACCGATAAATTTGACCAATCGATCATTTTCAAACATCTATCACTAAAATTTAATTCATGTTTAGAAAGATCACTATTCCTTTTTCACAACAACTGTCAAATAAACACTGGATCATCAGATCTCCCACATTACAAAGATTTAACAATACCAAAAAAAGAATTCCAATTGTCATATGAAGTTTCAACACCTCAAAACAATAATATGGAAATAATACTACCTTTGTTTAATAAAATCATATCTGTTATCCCCAACTCTAATTGTGATACATTTTTCACAAAAAACAACAACCATCACTTCACATTAAGATCAACCTACTTAAATCATGGTCCACTATCAAATTTAAACCAAAACACCATAAACTTAGATGAATGTACAATCAATATTGAATCATTCATCTACACTGCAGACTAACATGTTCTACTTAACAAGTTCTCAATCTGCAACAATCCACTTGACCCAAGTAAGCGATTAAAACTCGATTTATGGTTATCCCATATTGGTTCCATTAAATTAAACAATGAAATTATATCTGCAATTTCATTTGTTCCTACCACCAATACCACTCTACCAAACACATTACCCACCACATTACCTACCACCTTTATTAATAAATCATTCGAAAACGAATGCTCGCATTTATTAAAAAACCTAATTATCCAATACCAATCACAACCTCAGATTGGATTTAAACCTAACATTATATGCAATTACACTGAT